GCGGAGATCACGCCATTGGACTCCAGCCTGGGTAACAAAAGCGAAACTCTGTCTCAAAAAAAAAAAAAAAAAAGCAAACCGTTTGGCAGTTTCTCAAACTGTTAAACATAAATTGACCACACGGCTCTTGCAGTTCCATTCCTCATGTACATGTTTTTTGTTGGTTGGTTTTTTTGTTTTCTTTGAGACGGAGTCTCCCTCTGTTGCCCAGGCTGGAGTATAGTGGCACGATCTCAGCTCAATGCAACCTCTGCCTCCTGGGTTCAAGTAATTCTCCTGTCTCAGCCTCCCAAGTAGCTGGGATTACAGGTGTGCACTATCATGCCCGGCTATTTTTTGTATTTTTAGTTAAGACAGAGTTTCACCATATTGGCTAGGCTGGTCTTGAACTCCTGACCTCAGGTGATCTGCCCACCTAGGCCTCCCAAAGTGCTGGGATTACAGGCGTGAGACAGCACACCTGGCCTTTAGGTACATATTGAAGAGAACTTAAAACATGTTCACACAAAAACTTGTACATGAATGTTCACAGCATTATTCAAAATTAGAAAGAAGTAACTCAAACGTCCAACAGATGAATAAATAAACAAAATGTGGTCTATCCTTACGACAGCATGTTATTCAGCGACAAAAGGAATGAAGTGCTGACGCATGCTCCACCATGAATGTTCCCTGAAAACACAACACTGAGAGGAGCGAGCAAGGCACAAGACGCCACACGCCGTGTGAGTCTACGATGTGAAATGTCCGGAGGAGGTAAACCCGGAGACAGCAAGTAAACTAACGGTGCAGGGGGAATGAAAGACTGCTGACAGGCATGGGGTTTCTTTCTGGGGTGATGAAGATGCTCTGAAACTAGGTGGTGGTGGTAGTTTCATGACATTGTGAATATACTAAAAACAACTACACTGTACATTTTTATTTATTTATTTATGAGACAAGGTCTCGCGCTGTCGCCAGGTTGAAGTGCAGTGATGCAATTTCGGCTCAGCGCAAACCCAGCAATTTTTTTGTACTTTTAGTAGAGGTAGGGTCTCCCCAAGCTGGCCAGGCTGGTCTCAAACTCCTGACCTCAAATGATTCGCCCTCCTCATCCTCCCAAAGTGCTGGGATTATAGGCGTGAGCTATTGTACCTGGCCAACTACTGTACACTTCAAAAGGATGAATTCTGTGGTTTTTAAACAGGGGCAGACATTTGAACTCAATCTTAACGGATGTGCTCGTTGGGTAGACCATAGCAGGAAGGAAATTCTGGGAAGAATAAAATGAGGAAAGGCACAGAAGCCACAAAAGAGCAATGCACATTCAGGGAAGTGAACATAGCTATAGCTGCAGAAGAAGGCATATACTCAGGAGTGGCAGAAATAGGCCTGGCAATGCAGTGAAGAGGCAGACAGTGAACGTGCTATATGCCAGCCAAGGAGGACGCCATGGGGTGCCTTCCGTGAGAATGAGCCTCCCAGGAGAATATCACCAAGTTACCTGGCTCAATCCATCTTGTTAGGGAAGCCTCCTTCTGTCAACTCAGAATCATCCAACAACTGCACTCCACAGTGGCAAGCCAACAGTCCTTTTTACATTTATAAGATACATTTATTTACAGTATTGGTTGTTCTCAGTTTTCTTCCCAGCAGGGTCTAGACTCCATGAGGGCAGCCTCGTTTCCAATCTTAACTGTGTCGGTCCAAGTACAGGAGGACAGCCTGAGGAACCCCTATGAGAGCCTGAGGAACCCCCTATGAGAATAGCAATTTCAACCAAACGCTTTCGCTTTCCTAACTTCGCAGAACTTTGCTCATGTTTTCACTCTGTGTGAAATGCCCTCCTAATCACAGATTCATTCAAAACTTCGCCCTGATCTGTTTCAAACACCACTTCCTTGTGAAGGCCTTCCTTGCCACCCACCTGGATGTGAACTCCTCCTTCTTTTCAGAAGGTGTGTTTTGTACTTTTCTTCTGGCACTGATTTCCTCATCTCTTCTATTAAAGTTACTGGGCGCTGCTCTCATCTTACACATCCCTTGCCCCTCACCTACTGGAATCCAAACACCTTGCAAAAGGTTTACACCTTTCTGAGCCTCGCAGATCCCAGCACTGTGCTGGGCAGTCTGAACTGAACTGTTCAACCAGCAGCAAAAATGATAGAATCAGAGACAGAAATAACCATGCTCACAAAAGTTTCTAAAAACCCGAGAAGAAACTATACAAAACGGGATGCGGGTACAAATAACAGAGTGTGTTGAATCAATTTGTGACAACTTGGCTTGTTTATTTCTATCACATGGGTTTCATTTTGCTAGAACCCCCGAAGACTCAAACAAAAAGTAATGGCCTCCCAGCTGCGCCGTTCCCAAGTCTGTGGTTTTCCTGTGATATAAACAAAGGACTCTGGAGACACAGTCTCTGTTACTGTTTGCTGGTGTGGGTATGGAGAGGAGGGGAGGGTGGGACCGGGCAGGGTTTGAGGGAAATCCACCGAATGAACTGACAGTTCCTATAAGCAACACCTGCAGTGTTAAACCCCTTCCAACTGTGATTTTATTGAGAAAAAAATTCCACTCTTCCTTTGGTAAGTGTAAAAATTCTTTTACCAGCTGCATTCCAATCTAAAGCGTGTGGCAGTTCAGGAGATGGCAGCTGGAACAGATCACACTCAGGATGCAGAGAGCGCTCACCAGCAGTGAGGGGACAATGAGAGTCTGCAAACGAATCCTCAGAGCCTGTTCGTTCAAAGAGGGTTGGCCTCAATCTGCCTGCTCAGAGTGTCCTCCTCTGAACACTGAGAATACTGGACGTACCCGTCAGGACTGGACTGGTAAAAAGATCAGCTTTTGGAATAAAACTGTGACATCAGCTATTTTAGGATTGCCACTTCAGTTCATAAAACCCTAAAGCGTACATTTTGGTTAAATATTTACAATCTACTGCAAAACCAAATTCAGACCAAATGTCTGCTTACACAACCTTGTAACATGGTCAGGCCTCCTGATGAGTGGGAGAGGGAGCTAGCATTTAATGAGAACTCAGTATGTGCCTGGGGCTGGGCCAGGAAGCAGCACTTAGTATGTGCCTGGGGCTAGACCAGGAATGAGCACACACTACGTGCCTGGGGCTATGCCAGGAATGAACACTCCCTACGTGCCTGGAGCTAGACAAGGAATGAGCACTCACTACGTGCCCTGGGTTGGGCCAATCTGATCCATGTTCCGTCCTCACAGGGATTCTGGGATGCAGAAATCCACAGTCTACACAGGGCTGTGGGCCCAGGTGATGTCATGTTGGCCCACACAGGTGAAGTGATTTGCTCAACGCACACAGGAAACATGGAAGAGTTAGGTCTGTCCTCCCACTGCCCTCTGCTACTGGCCAGTACAACCCCAAAAAATTCCTTCTCCAGAATTTCCAAGAATGCTATAAGAGCCTATGACTCTAGAGCAGACATTGGCAAACACTTTCTACAAAGGGTCAGAAAGTAAATATCTTACTTTTCTTTTTAGCTTTATGGGCTATACAGTCTCCATTGCAATGACTCAATTCTACCAATGTATTGCAAAAAGGCAGCCATAAGTAAATAAAGGAACATGGCTGTACCCCAATAAAACTTTATTTTCACAAATTAGCAGTGCACAAGATTGGGTTCCCAGGCCCTAGTCTGCCGACCCCTCCCCTACAAAGTTCTAGAGTAGCAGCTTCCTGTGATTTGGGTTTGCCATAAAAAAGGCCCATTTCCAACTTCAACAAAAGTGAGTCTCCCTATTCAAGTGTGTGGTGGCTCATGCCTGTTATTCCAGCACTTTGGGAGGTCGAGGCAGGCAGATCACCTGAGGTCAGGAGTTCGAGACCCGCCTGGCTAACAGGGAGAAATTCCGTTTATACTAAAAATACAAAAAAAAAATAGCTGGGCCTGGTGTTGGCGCATGCCTGTAATCCCAGCTACTCAGGAGGCTGAGGTGGGAGCATCGCTTGAACACAGGAGGCGAGGTTGCAGTGAACCAAGATCACGCCACTGTACTCCAGCCTGGGCAACAAGAGGGAAACTATGTCTCAGAAAAAAAAAAAAAAAAAAAAAAAAGAAAGAAAACAGAAAGACATGGTCTGTGCACTTAGGGAATTTACATTTATTTGGGAAAAGGCACAGGCACATAAAAGCCAAAAATAGGAACATGAGGTAGCACTTGGTAAGTGTCAAAGGAGCGGACTTTGAGGGCCAGAGGCTGACTGATGGGGCCACTACGGTATTAGAAAACCAGAGTTCACAACCTGATCAAATAATCTTGCATTGGTACCAGAACTCAGAGTCAGAAAAACCTCTCAGTGGGCAAGAATGAATGAGTCAGAAGTTACTGCTCTAAGGAAACTACCGCAAACACCCATTCTGGTGAGACCACACCAAGGTTTTCAGCATGTGTCAGATGCCAATCAAAGACATCTCAGCTGGGCACAGTGGCTTACGCCTATAATCCCAGCACTTTGGGAGGCCTCGGCAGGACGAATGCTTGAAGCCAGGAGCTCAAGACCAGCTTGGGCAATACAGCAAGACTCTTAGCTCTAGAAAAAATTTAAAAAGTAGCTGGACACAGTGGCATGCCCCTGTGGTCTCAGTTACCTGGGAGGCTGAGGCAGGAGGACTGACGATTCTAGGGTTGAGGCTGCAGTGAGCTATGATGGCACCACTGCCCTCCAGCCTGAGTGACAGAGACCCTGTCTCTAAAAAATAAAAATAAACCACAGACAGCATCTCCTTTAGACTCATCAAACACATTCATTTCATCTCTCTCTTTTTTTTTAGCTATCTTCCAATACTGTGATGCTCTGTCTCAATCTAAAAGGACAAGCAACTGACCGCACTCAGGGAACAGCATAAAGTGAGTGCTTTAAGGACTCGTGGACTCTTTCCATCCTCCTCCTGGCCAATCCGTTAAGCTCTGATGAGCCTGGAGAAGCTACAGACCTTGGGCTGCTCCTTAAGTTTTCAAGATGCCATTTCCCAAGACCTTACCTTGCTCATGGCGGTCAGGGCAGGATCACAGGCAGCATCCAGATCCTGAACCAGCAGCTGAATACTACTGGAGATAACGCTGCAAATCAAACAAATCACTGTGGTCACCCTTCAAACAGTTGTCTGAATGACAGACACAATCCCTTCCAAATGTTTTAGGGCCTGTGTAAAAATCAGATTCATCATTTTTTTTTTTTTTTTTTGAGACGGAGTTTCACTCGTTACCCAGGCTGGAGTGCAATGGCGCGCTCTCGGCTCACCACAACCTCCACCTCCTGGGTTCAGGTGATTCTCCTGCCTCAGCTTCCCAAGTAGCTGGGATTACAGGCACGCGCCACCATGCCCAGCTAATTTTTTGTATTTTTAGTAGAGACGGGGTTTCACCATGTTGACCAGGATGGTCTCGATCTCTTGACCTCGTGATCGACCCGCCTCGGCCTCACACGGTGCTGGGATTACAGGCGTGAGCCACCGCGTCCGGCCCAGATTCATCATTTCATCAGTGAAGTCTGAGCTTTAATAAATGACAGTGGAGGGAATAGTCTGGCTCTTTCTTCACGTCCTGGTTTTATCTGGGTATGTCCTCACGTCCTGGTTTTACCTGGGTATGACACAGGGTCCCTGGCCAGTCTCCCCAGTCACCACCCCCAGTATCCCTGCTCACATCTTCCTCCAAAAGAACTGAAGAAAATAAAAAGTTAAGAGAAGTGGGAGAAATAAACTAAGAAGAGAATTTTTATTTTCCTCAGTAAGTGGCTGGTGTGAAAGCTGAGGCTTGGCCCATGCCTGTCTCGTTTAATGGCAGTGGAACAGCAAATGACCACAACGAAAATGCCACACGGTCCTAACAGGGAAAGGAGGCTGTAGTGCTTGAACTTCCCGGATGGAGCCTCTGCCACCCCACATTCTCACACCATCAGTGGCTAAAATCAAGCCCTTTCTACTTTATACTTTAAAACACTGAAGGTAGACCTGTCCTTCTGTGGGTTTAGGCAGAAGCAGATCAGGGATGGCCAAGGAAGAATGTCTTCTCTGAGGTTCTTCTTCACAGTGAGATAATAAAGGCCCCATAAGCTAAAAGTGCAACTGCATTTGAGGAGTCACATGGGAGAGGCACCAGTTCTGAGGCTGCTTCTTAGTGCCCTGTAGGGACAAATTCTTACCTGATAGAAAGCTGTTAGGTTTTCCAGTGAGTGAAGCCAACAGCCTGAGGCATGCCGCTAGGTAGCGGAGAAAGGGCAGGCAGCGAGAAAGTGTGTGTAACAAAGTGTGTGCAAGGTATATACGTGTGCAAGGTACGTATGTGTGCGAGGTGTGCATGTGCTAAATGTGTCCATCTCTCCAGTCAGATTGATTCACTGAGTCAGACTTAGACAAGCTGCTGGGTAGCAGAGAGAGGGCAGGTGGTGAGCAAGCGTGTGCGACATACATACGTGTGCGAGGTACATGTGTGAGACATGTACGTGTGCGAAATACATGTGCAAGGTACATATGTTTGAGAGGTACGTACGTGCTAAATGTGTCCATCTCTCCAGTCAGATTGATTCGCTCAATCAGACTTACATCCACTTTTTCTTTGAGTTTTTCTTCCAGCTGTTGGAAAATGGAAGAAGTATCACAATTCTAATAGTTAACTGAGTTTGATGATTCAGGCATAATTCCAGGAACTTTTAATTCTTACAATCTTATGAGGAAGAGTCTATTATCCTCATTTCACAGATGAGAACATAGAGAAGGGGCCTACCCAAGACAGAAGTGGGAGGGCCAGGAATCAAACCTCCTCCAGAACCCGTGCCCTTCAGCATGGTGACACGGTCCCTGCCGTCATCAGCCTACAGCTGGGGACAGAGACGTGGTCCCTGCCGTCATCAACCTACAGCCTGGGACAGAGATGCGGTCCCTGCTATCATCAGTCTACAGCCGGGGACAGAGACGCGGTCCCTGCAGTCATCAGCCTACAGCCTGGGATACAGACGAGGCCCCTGCAGTCATCAGCCTACAGCCTGGGATACAGACGAGGCCCCTGCAGTCATCAGCCTACAGCCTGGGATACAGACGAGGCCCCTGCCGTCATCAGCCTACAGCCTGGGACAGAAACGGTCAACATGCTCCTGAGCTCAAAGGAAAATACAACCAGACCTGGACTTGTAAATCCTTGAAAACAACCCTGGGAGTTGATTAATCTAGCACTGTAAACCTATTACACAAACTCTAAGAATAGCTAATGTTTTATCTTTTTTTTTTTTTGAGACCGAGTTTCCATCTTGTTGCAAAGGCTGCAGTGCAGTGGCATGATCTTGATTCACTGCATCCTCTGCTTTCCAGGTCCAAGCATTCTTCTGCCTCAGCCTCCTGAGTAGTTGGTATTACAGGCATGCACCACCATGCATGGCTAACTTTGTATTTTTAGTAGAGATGGGGTTTCATCATGTTGGTCAGGCTGGTCTCAAACTTCTGACCTCAGGTGATCCACGCACCTTGGCCTCTGCAAGTGCTGGGATTACAGGTGTGAGCCACCGTGCCCAGCCGGGATAACTAACGTTTTGTCTTAAATGTGAAAATGCTGTTGGGGAGCATAAATTAGTGTAACCTTTTTCGAAGGCAATTTATTCAAAAAGCAAAATTGTAAATACATACACGGTCTAAACCAGCAATTTCACAACTAGAAATGCATTTCAATGAAATAAGGGGAATAACATATAAAGATATGCAAGTATTTTTGCAGTATTCATTAATTCAACCAATATTTACTGAAAGCCCACTTTTTCAGGCTGTGTAATAGAGTAAGAGAGCTACTCAGTGAGCAAACGGATCAATACTGTTCTCATAAAGCCTACATTCTGGTGTGGTTTTATATTACTGAAAAGGTGGAAACAATCTACGTATATATTTGCAAGGGATTGATAAAACAAATTATGGCACAGGGGTATAATGCTTCAACTCTTCAGCAGCCTCTTCCTATGACACCGAAAATAAAATCCAAACTCCTGATTGTGAACTGGGTCCTGACAGTTGTCTGGCCCCGTCTTGCTACTTTCTACCTTCCCTGCTAGGCCTCAGTTATGCTGGCCTTTTAAACTTCTGAGACACACCAGGGTCCTTCGCCCTCAGGACCTTTGTACGTCATACTTCCTTCTTCGTCGCCCTGCTTGGCCCTGCTGACCTGCTCCCCTGCTTTGCTGCACCCCCGCCCCCTTTCCAAGCCCAGCAGGCTCCTCACATGGCAGTCTCCTTCCCTAGGCCCCGGGTCCCTGCCTCAATCTCACCTCCTCAGAGAGGCCCTCCGTGACTACCCACGTCAGTAGGCAACTCCCTCATTCTAGCACTGCCAAGTATGTTTCTTACCTAATATCACAAAACTGAAGTTACATCTCAGCTGGCTGGCTTCTTTATTACCTGGTTCCCCCATTAGGTTTAAGTTCCATGCCAGAAAGAAACTGCTCGGTTCACCTCTGTTAATTAGCACCAAATATGGTGCTTGGTGCACAGTAAGTGCTTACTGAAGATGTCTTGCAGGAAAAAAAGAATGAATGGAACAATCTTGCAGGTGTTTACAAGGCTGAGGCAATACTGACATGGAGAGATGTCCAGATTGAGGTAAAAACAAAACAATGCTGCTTTGTTATGGAACCATATGCAGAGCACCAGCCCATTTTATTTAAAAAGATACAACCAAAAACTACTTGAAAGCTTATACGGTAAATGGCGGTTGCTCTGAAGGGTGAGATGATGGGGAATTTCATCCCATATGTGTATGTTCCTATGACATTTGAAACTTTTTAAAAGTGCGTATCACTTAAACTATTTAATAGGAAAAATTTCAAACATCTACAAAAATACAGAGAACAGTAACATGTGCCAAGGCCAGCATCACCAACTGTCACGACACAGCCAGTCTTGTCTGATTTATACCCTCACATATTCTCCCATCCCTTCAATTACTTTCAAGCAAATCCTAGAATTCTATCATTTCATCTGTAAATGTTTCAATACGCATCTCTGAAAGATAAGCACTCCTGAAAAAAAAAAAACCTCAAAACCATTAACACGTCTAAAAAAATCTATCAGTCATCACATATCTATCCAGTCAGTAACCACAGTTCCCTCATTCTCTTACCATTTTAAAAATGGTTTATTTTGGCTGGGTGCAGTGGCTCATGCCTATAGTCCTAGAATTTTGGGAGGTCAAGGTGAGAAGATCGCCTGAGGCCAGAAGTTTGGAGGCCAGACTAGGCAACACACTGAGACCCTGTCTTTACAAAAGCAAATGCACAAACAAACAAAACTAGCTAGGCTCAGTGGAGGCTGAGGCAGGAGGATCACTTGAGCCCAGGGGATCAAGGCCACAGTGAGCTATAACGACACCACTGGACTCCAGCCGGGATGACTGAGTGAGACCCTATCTCAAAAAGTCTGTTTTCATCAAGATCCAAATAAAGATCACAAACAGCAATTGGCTAATACATCTCTCAAGTCACTCTCTGTTTTTTTGAGATGGAGTCTCTCTCTGCTACCCAGACTGGAGTGCAGCGGCACAGTCTTGGCTCACTGCAACCTTTCCCTCCTGGGTTCAAGCAATTCTCTTGCCTCAACCTCCTGAGTAGCTGGAATTATAGGTGCCCACCACCACGCCTGGCAAATTTTTGTATTTGTAGCAGAGACAAGGTTTCACTGTGTTGGCCAGGCTGGTCCTGAACTCCTGACCTTGTGATCCACCCACCTCAGCCCCAACATGCTGGGATTACAGGTGTCAGCCACCACGCCCTGCCTCTCAAGTCTCTTTTAAAAAAATATATAATATGATTAACTGTGGGAATCGCCCCTGCGAGAGGCTAACAACTTGGCCTTCGCCATTAGGTGCGTTTGATTCCTTACATACTTTCCCTGGCTGGAGGCTGTTGAGCTATGGGGAAGAAAAATCAGCAGAAGAATGACTAAACAGAACACTATTTTTCAGCCTTCTTGGCTGATGAGATAACGGCTGAGTGAACGCTGAAGTGATTTAACTGGGTATTGTGTTCCCCTTTCTGGCTCCTGATCTAAACCTGTTTTATGACTTTGTTTATCAGGCATTGTTTCAGCCTGTCGACCTTCCCTGCAGTCCTTGTCTTTTGCAGATGCATGATTTACTGCTGAGCTTGTGACTTCTAGATAATTGAAGATTGCTATCCGAGTTACTGGTTGACAATATTGATAATCAGCATCACCCATTCCCCCCTTGATCTTTTAAATCAGTATTTGTTCCTTTTACTAGTTCCCCAGAATTGTTTTCTTTCTTTTGTTATTTGAGAAAAGCTTTAATCTGACGTGAACAACATTAAGTAGAAAAGTATATAATGGAATCTACTGCACAAATAAAATCGCTGTTTGGGCACTGCCTAATCAGTCCTCCAGACCCCTCTCTCTGTCTCCTTTATTTCCGCGCACGCCCTCTTCCAGGTTTGGGACCCTCTCGCTGGACAAGACTCATGTTCAGTTTCCAACAATTAACACGTGGAAAACATACACATCTCTAGTGTTTAGTTGGATAAGTTTGACAGTCATACACACCCATGTACTCATCAATAATAACAAGATATTGAACATTTCCATTCCCCCAGAAAGTTCTCTCATGCTTCTCTGCCCCTTTCAAATCAACCCTACCCTCATCCTCACCATCTGATTTCTATTACCACAGATTAGTTTTGTCTGTATAGTACTTGAATTTTATATATAGTAGCCCCTGCCTTATGTAAAGTTTTGCTTTGCACAGTTTCAGTTAGGTACAGTCAACCACAATCCAAATATATTAAATAGAAAAATTCTAGAAATAAGCAATCTATACATGTTCAATCGCAAGCCACCCTGAGTATCGCAATGAACTCTTATGCCATCCTGCTCCGTCCCGCTTGGGAGATGAATCCTCCCTGTGTCCAGCTATCTGTGTTGTTTACACTCCTCACCTGTTACCGTACAGGAGAAACTGTGTACCATGTACAGGGTTTGGTACCATCTGTGCTTTCAGGCACCCACTTTGGGGCTTGGAATGCATCTCCCACAGATAAGGGGACTAGCGTAAATGGGATTAGATGGCATGTACTCTTGATGTGAGGTTTCTTTCAACATATTTCTGAGACTCATCCTATTGGTGTGTGTATAAGCAGTTCATCCATTTTATTGCTAAGTAGTGGTCCATTGTACGGACACCACAACTTGCCATCCATTCTCTTGTTGAAGGATATTTAGGTTGCTTCCAATTTTAGGCCACTATGAATGGGGCTACTATAAATTTCCTTGTATACCTCTTATGTTTTCATTTTTCTTGGGTAAATACCTGGGAATTTGATCCTGCCATTGCTGGATCATAAGGTTTTATAAGAAACTGCCAAGCTGCTTTTGAAAACAAGTATCCTGGCTTATATTCTCATCACCAATATGTCAGAATTCTAGATGTTCCACATCCTTGCTGATCCTTGTCATTGTCAGCATTCCAGATGTTCCACATCGTCACGGATACACGTTGTCATCCTGTCAGAATTCCAGATGTTCCACATTCTCACTGATACTTAATGTTGTCATTTTTTTGTTTTCATTTTTGTGTGTCGTTCTTTATG